TATCAATTCAGTGGCATATACGCAGAACAGTCATTCCACTATATCTATATATAATATTATACATTAACTTGTATCATTGAACTATGTATCATTCGAATGACTAAAATAATTTTTGTACAGTATATATTTCATGGACACATTAAACAACAGGAAATTGACAAAAATAAACTAAGTAATTTTTTCTGTCTGTCAGGAACTTTTAATAGGGCTTTCCGAAAGTGAAATTATTTTTCTTAACGTCTTGGATATTAAATTGCTATAAAATTATAAATTATTTCTTTTTTTAAAAATATTATTACTGTATTTATGTATTTATTGGTGTGTGGGTGAATAACATTAAGGTTTGCTTATACTCCCGTAGGTACCAACAATTATTGGAAAATTGTATCTACATATTATTTATATAAAATATTGGAGACTTTATTTTATATTCATACATTYAATTATCCCTATGCATAATGAGGCGAGATATAATTTTAGAATATTGTGCATTATAAATACTATTAAAATTAAATAAAGACAAAAATAATCAATATTTAGATTTTTAGATTTTGGTAGAGGTTTTTTCCCGTTTTCTCTTTAGACTTTAGAGCAATACTCAAAACATTTCAACTATTTTAAGTATAATCTGAATGTTTAATAGAAAATCAAGTATATTTAGCACTTTAAAAATATAATTYCAATCGTACTTGACGTTATGAATAACTACAAAGAATAAACGATTGAAGATATCACGCGTACCTGGTGCTTTTTTTCAAAAATTCAATATCTGCAAACATGTTTATTTAACATTAATAATTTCTGTGTTATCTTTGTTTAATATAGTACAAATATCTATGTTTTAGAGTTCGAATTTATGGGGTCGTAACTCGTTGATAAAGTTTTGTATCAATTGGGGATAGGGGGTCATTTAGTTCCCTACCAAAAATATCTTAGAACATTATCGCTATTTTTAAATGTGCGCTATCCAGAATGTTTAATATTCGAGTGATACATTTAGGATATGTTTGGCGCTCTCCACAAATCGGAAATATTCCTCGGCTTGCTGCAGCAGCTCTATAATAGATTACATTGCATTGTGATAACATATATTATAGGTACTGTATAGTATAATATACATATACATATATACTTTTACCTATTGTAAATATCCAGGAGTTTTCTAAGAGGTTTTTATTTTATTTCGGTCTTAAATRGAAATACCTAAATTACTGCTATAGCGAAAAAGTCAATGCCCATACTTTATGTATTATATGCTGTCTTGAATGTGTACGTATTACGTACAATATACAAAAATATAACATCGCTCTCTAGTCTTGACGTAATATGGTGTTTGTCATTGTTTACCAGCTGTTAAGAAAATGTTTTTTTTAAGCTAAAATTTATTTTCATGCTATATTTGGGTAGTTTTAAAAAATTGTTTCTATAGCAGTAATAACAACCAAAGGAAAAAAAAAATTTACTAGGTATCAACATTCAATTTTATTGTAATTTTTCCAAAACGGATTCCGAGATTAATAATGTTTTAATAACTAATCATTCACGATTGTTTTTTTCGCGTAAACGTACTTCTAGTTTTGTGTWTAAAGCATCATTATTTCGATTTCTTTTTATTCACTTACTTTGTTCTTAGCAATTAATTTTTAAGATATCGTAGTTTTATGAATTTGTRTGATGTGTATACAGTATTGACTGACCAATCATTATAACTTCAATGTTTTAATTTAATAATGAACTTTTGCAATTTCAAAGTATGTGTAAGAGACATATATTATCTCATATACTTAAACTTTTATGTCATTTTTAACTTTTTTAGTAATATTCATTACAAATTACACTTTTATTGCAAATGAGAACTACGCTTTTTTAGTTTTTGAAAATGTGTATTGTGTACCTACAGAAATATACTTATATGGAAATTCAAATGAGTAACTTCTGAGTTTCATAAGCTTTAAGTACCAATAGAGAAATTCCATGGTATTTTTTAACATATTAAAATCATATGTGCCAATTACAACGGAGTTAGAATTTTAATAATTAAGACCTTTTTATTAAAAGCAAAATAATATAATATAGTAATATAGAAACCGCACCAGCATTATCAAATATGAAACATATAGATGAATAACATTGAATCTATTGATGAAATACTTTGAAATCTAATTGATTCGACAGCCATTAGTTTGATTTAATATTAATTCACCTTTGAATTTCAATTTTTCGTTGGACCTCGTCCTCAAAGAAATAAGCCAGAAGATAATTCTTATATCATCTAAATTGATTTCTATTATAAAGTKAATTAGGTTCAAAATAAAATAAAAGATACTCGCAATGTTTATGTGTATATTTTATATTTCCCTTCATATACATATCCTTGTTCTATGAATATTTCTGACGTACCTTTTAAAACCTATTTGAGTCTGGTAATGCGTTTAATATAACTGATGACTGCTCCCATTATTACATTTTTTTTTTAATGTTTCGTAATAATATTATATGCGTATAAACTATAAAGATAAAAGCAAGTGGTTTGACACAATATTACTCTTCATGGTTACTATAAAATATTGTAATTTGTGTTATATATTTTTGTTGATATTATTATGAACATATCATGTTGAACTATCAGTAAYACCTACTGAGTCAACAATCATCAGTGAATTTTTCTTCATTCAGATAGTATATGTTCGCGGAAGTGATGCGCAAGTAGTCATCCCTGTGGTGTTGTCGATTCCAGCTGAAAAATGTTATATTTTTAGATTCGAAAAAATTGAAGTTTTCAAACAATTTTATTTTAAATTTAGGCTTCAAATTTTGTACATAGTACACACTAATTATTATTGTTAWTGATACAATTTTTTTCATACCTATTAATAAGATAAATTAGATTAAAATAGTAAAATAATAATATGTCCTGTTCCAATAAGAAGGACTTCTTACGTTAACAAGTAAGATGCGTAGTGAGTAGTGACAAATGTGTAATCAGCTTTTTAACTCTATAAATACATACTTACATATGCATATTATATGTAATATCATGCTCCATGAACCAAGCAGTATTAAATAATTTGAAACGTTATGACTTGTTATTGATTGAGCATCCAAGTGACTTCAGAAAAGAAATCGGGAAAATAGATAGTAATATTATATTATTATGTAAACATCGTTTTATAATAAATAATAATATTGTAAGCTATTTGGCCGYGAGCCAGCCGACCGATGCTGTGTTTGTGTGAAAATAAAGCAAGGGCAGGTTTTCTGAGTAACTAAGTAATTTTTCGTCGACCGCACTGATCGCTGGAACATCTATTGCAAGAATTGTAAGCTATTTATACGAAAAATGTTGTCCACCCCGTATCCCAACCAATTTATAGGTATATTATATATATATGACTATGTAAGTAAATACTAAATAAATTCCTAGCCCTCTATAATATACGTCAGCTATCAGTATAAAGTATTATATAATAT